CTGTGTCTCTCCCTTCCTCCATTTCCTCTCTCTCTCTCTCTCTCTCTGATAAGTCTGCCTCTGGCAATGGCTGGCTGTGTCCCTTTGCCTCTCTCGTCCTTGGTTCCATGGACTTTACATTCCAGGCAAAATGGCCCTCTTGGCTGTTTCCGCAGAAGCCTTGTCCTCCTCTGAGGCTCAGCCTAGGAACTCCCTCCTCCATGAAGCCTCCCCTGATTCTCTAAGTCCCTAGTGCTCTCCATGTCCTCATTTCATCTTGTACAATCCTTTGAGTACACATGCCATATCCCCCAGCGCCACAGATGGGTAGGTCCAGAGGGGCTGCAATCAGCATCAAAGAAGATCTCCCCACAAAGCCAGAGGAATATCTGGAAGTGACATCACCCAGAAGACCACAAGCTCCTTGTAGGCAGGGACTTTGCCATCATCACCATCATTACCAGTACTATGTTGTACTTATACTAACGTATATAGCACATTACTAGTACTATATTGTACTTAGACTAACATATATAGCACATTATCAGTATATTGTACTCATACTAACATATACAGCACATTACCAGTACTATGTTGTACTTATTAAATGGGGTTATCTCATTGGACCCTCACATTATTATCCCCATTTTACACATGAGGAAACCGAGGCTCAAAGCAGTTAAGGCACACAGCTGGTGATAATGATTTGCAGCAGTGCTAGGAACCCTCAGGGTCACTGGTGCTGCCCATCACACGGGCTGAGAAGCAGGACCACCCATAACTCCCCCCCATACATTGCCTCCATCCCTCCATCACCCCCTCCCCACGCCCCAACAAACTTGTCAGGGAGTGTGGCTCCTACTTGGGCTGCAGGTAGGTGAGTGCCTCGGAGAACTGGTTGGTGAGAAAGAGGTCGAGGGCGATCATGCATTCATCCAAGGCCACGTTCAGGTTGGACATGGAGGGTCTGTACCAAAGAGACACCGAATTTTAAAATGGAAGGGACCGGAGCGGCAGCGAGACCAGCCCACGTACAGAAACAAGAATCCTCTCATCTCCCGGATCCCTGACACATGGGCCTCAAAGGAAGTGGGGCTCACTACCTCCCCCGGCAGCTCGTCCCTGCGGTCGAGCTCAGACAACCGGGCCTTGAACTCAAGGCTGGCAATCCCATGTTATTCTTGTTCCTGTCACGGTTAGCTCAGCGCCTTCTCTTCCTCTGAGACACAGCCCAAGCGTCCCCTTCTCCATGAAGCCTTTCCCGGCACCCCGGCTGCTGGCGCCCTCCCCGACTGCCTGCTTCTTATTTGCATTCATTCCCTATCTCTAAACGCAAAAGCTATCTCCCCCAATGGAGGGTAAGCTCTCTGAGGGCAGGGACTATATAGCCTGGTGCCTAGCATGGGCCTTGACCCATAATGGTTGTTTAATACACACTTGCTGATTGATCGACTACCTGATGGGGTTAGAATGTGCAGTAAAAAGAGCCCTTGGCCCTTCACACCTGTGGGCCTCAGTTTCCTCCTCTGTAAAATGAGGGGGCTGGGCTAGTTGGACTCTGACGTCCCCAGCTCCAGGTCTATGCTCGTGCAGTAGCCCGTGCGGGCAGCAGGAGGGCCCCCGGCTCCAGGCAGGCCGCACCCCAGCTCACCCCAACCCTCCAGGACTGACTATGAAGAGCAGAAACCATGGAGGGAGTGACCCTGGCCAGCGTCCCAGGCCTTTCCCCAGGGCCATCAGCTGCAAGTGAGGACCTTACCGGCCCCTGCGGAGGGATAAAATCGCAGACCTGGCCCCCTCCCCTCCCGCTCCCCGCCAAGGCCCTAACCCATCTGCTTTGCCTTTGGCTCCCCCATGCAGCACAGCTAAGGCTCGGTCTTATCCAGGGTCACGCAGGGAGTGTCAGAGGGAAGATTCCAGTGCAGATCCCCCCCACCCTGCCCCCCTCACTCCCCGACACCCCCGTCAGTTGCTCCCACTTCTAGTGGGAGTTTCATGGTTTTCACAGCCCTTTCCTCACACAAACCTCCGGGTGAGGGACAGAATCCATTTTATAGATGATAAGACACAGGTGGGAAGTGCCCAAGTCCTTTGATGCTGAGACTGGGGCTCTCCCCACCCACCCCGGGAAGGGGGAAGTCCTTAGGACCTCGGCCAAGAGGAGACATAGGAGACAGAACCCAAATCCCTTCTGTCTCTTCTCAGGGCCCCAGTTCATGGTCTCTGAGCTCCCTTCTAGCTCTAACAGCCTAAAGCTAAGAAAGACTCTATTAAGGTGAAACTTAATGGGTACAAACATAAAGACGTACACTAGGGTTCAAAAACTGAGCAGCACAAGAAGAGGATGGGGAAAGACGTGGTGTGAAGAAAATCTGGAGGGGTTAGTGGACTCAAGCTATGAGTCAGTGGTGTACAAAAGGAATGGGACCTTAGCCTGCACCAAAGAGGCCTGGTGCTCAGAACGAGGAAAGGGAAGGTCATGCTCCACGAGGACGGATGCTTGAAAGAAATGGGGACGGGGAGGAGGATTAAATGTGGGTTGATTTGGAGTGGGGGGGCAGAGGGGGTTCTGTATCAAAAGGAGAATTTGGAGCAAGGGGGTCAAAGTGGGGAGTGGCAAAGAGGAAAGAGAAAGCTTCCTAATAGTGAGAACTGTCCCGGCATGGGAAGGGCTGCCTCTGGAGGTGGTGAGCTCCCTCTCCACGGAGGGCTACAAGGGTCTGGGTGAGCTGCCTGCGGGGGTGGGATCCCTCCAACTCTCAGGTTCTGGCTCCTGCGAACACACACTATCAGAACCGGGAAGGGCCGTGGAGATCATGTAGCCAGGTAACCTGAATCCTGGGTCCCTAAACTTGTTTTATTTAAGAATATAAAATTTAGTGGGGCAACTAGGTGGTGCAGTGGATAGAGCTCCGGCTTTGGAGTCAGAAGGACCTGAGTTCAAATCCAACCTCAGACACTTGCTAGCTGTGTGACCCTGGGCAAGTCACTTAACCCTGATTGATTGCCTCACCAAAAAGCAACAAAAAAAAAAAAAGACATGGTATTTTGATGACCACATTTTGCCGTCACTAATTTCCTTTGTGACCCGATGAGATTTGTTTCATGATTAAACACCGTGACTCTGAGAAGGCTGTGCCAGCCTGCGGACACACAGAGAGGTGGGGAACCCTTACAGATAGGGAAACTGAGGCCAGGGGAGGGGAAAAGCTTCACGCCAAATCACGCCGAGCGCAGGGCGGGTCCGGCATTCTCGGCCAAGGCTCCAGCCTCAGCAAACCTCACCCCAATGCAGGCATTCCCTCCAGAGGTGCTGATTGCAGCCCCTCCCTGTCCTGCCTCCCGTAATGCCTGCTCTCGGCGGGCAAAGGGGCGGTCCTGGGGGGCGGGGGGGGTTGGGCTGTTTCTGTCTGCCCCGTCTGGGCTCCTCGCTCTGGCCCCGCCCCGTGCCCCCGCCCCCTCCCCCCAGCCTCCCGCCAAGCCCAGGCTCCGGCCCCCGGACCGCCCCTTCCCCCCCCCGGTGGGGGCCCTTGGGGGGCCTTCCCCGCCTCTCTGAGCGGCCCCCCTCACGGGACCACCCCCATGTTACAGAGGAGGACCCCGGGGCCCAGAGGAGGGCGGGGCTTGCCTGAGGGGCCCTCACTCGGGGAGCCCCCCCCAACCACGGCCGGTTACCTGGGGCTGGGGCCCAGGCTGGTCCGCCGAGGTCTAGTGAGGAGGGCCGCGAGTCTCTGCATCGGTCATGCCCTTCAGACCCCCGCTGCCCTGGGGCCGGCCCATGCCCCGGAAAGGGGAAGAAGCGGGCCGGACCTTGGGCGGCCACCCCTGCACGCGCGCCCCCTACAGGCCGAGCTCGGGACCAGAGCGAGGCTGGGGCGGAGCGCCCTCTGGGGGCGGGGCGGGGCGGGGCGGGGCTGGGGGGGTGATGCTGCTACTGCTCCTCCGCCTTCCTCCCCCTCCCCCTTCTTCCTCCTCCTCCCCCTTCTTCCTCCTCCTCCTCTTCCTTCCTCCTCCTTCCTCCCCCTTCCTCCTCCTTCCTCCTCCTCCTCCTTCCTCCTCCCCCTTCTTCCTCCTCCTTCTCCTTCCTCCTTCTTCCTCCCCCTTCCTCCTCCTCCCCCTTCTTCCTCCTCCTCCTCCTTCCTCCTCTTCCTTCCTCCTCCTTTCTCCTCCTCCCCCCTTTCTTCCTCCTCCTTCTCCTTCCTCCTTCTTCCTCCTCCTTCCTCCTCCTCCTTCCTCCTCCTCCTCCATCCTCCTCCTTCCTCCTCCATCCTCCTCCTTCCTCCTCCTTCTTCCTCCTCCTCCTCCTCCCCCTCCCTCCTCCTCCTCCTCCTCCTCTTCCCCCCCTTCCTCCCCTTGCTCCGCCTCTCTTCTGCCCTCTCTGAGCCCCCCAGCTCTGGGGTCCCCCTTCATCCTCCCATGCCCCCCATCACCAGACCATCTCCTCCTGTCTAGCCATGGTTGTTGGCATCTTGTCTCCCCCGCTAGACAGGGAGCTCCCTGAGGCAGGAGCAGCGTTTGCCTTGCTTCCTGCCCCCATGGCTTAGCACTGCCTGGCACATAGTAGGCGCCTGATAAATGTTAGCTGACTGACTCTGCTTGGCCTCCTCCATTTTCCAGAACAGCCAGACCAAGTCAAAGCTTCCCCAGCAGCCCATCACGGGCCCGTCTTCTCCCCCCTCCAACACTGACCACTCCTAGCTTGGCTCTTTGTCAATGTGCGGGGCACGAAAGATACTCTTTATTTCTCATTTTTCTTATTAGTAATTCGGGGTGCTCTTCTCATAGGGGGTTGATCACTTGCATTTAAAACAGCTATCCCCGATGCTTATTTCTTGGATGGCAAATTCTAATCAAAGATATCTAATGCTGAATCACTCAGAGCTTCTCTTTTCATTCCAGCTGTACTGATTTCACTTGTCCAACAGCTTTTCCACCCAGTTTCCCCCTCATCTCCTCTCTCCCTTTGTCTCGCCCTCTTCTCCTCCCCAAAACTCATTCAGGGACCACCACAGTCATCTCCTCTCACCTTCCCTTCCTCTCTCTCGTCGTCAATGAGCATCTCAGGAAAAGCTTACTGAAGGCTTTTCAGATCATCCACACAACCCTGATTTTCAGGGCAATGTGGCAGCCACAGACTTGAACATTCTGAATCCCAGAGGGGTCAGAGGCGGGGGGGGGGGTAGTCTGTGACCCCCAGTGACCAGGCTCACAGCCTTCTGTCCTGGCACTAGTTCCTTTAGTGAGGGATGAGAAATTGCCTAGTGCAATTCTTCAAGAAACTGAGGCCCACGGCAGGAAAGCAATTTGTCTTAGGTCACACTATGAGCAAGAACCAGGACTAGAACTCAATTCCCTCAACACCTCAGTCTGGGCCCTTTCCTGTGTTTTGGCACATAGTAGGTGCTTAATGAATGCTCACTGACCTGACTGCACTACCCCTAAATTCCTTTTTTAAATGTCTCAGTCAACAAGGTCCAGAGTCCATCCCATGCTTAAGAAGGCTATGGAGGGGCAGCTAGGTGGCACAGATAGAGCACTGGTCCTAAAGTCAGGAGGACCTGAGTTCAAATCCAGCCTCAGATCAAACACTTGACACTTACTAGCTGTGTGACCCTAGGCAAGTCATTTATCCCCATTTGCCAAAAAAAAAAAGAAGGATATGGAGATTAGAGTTAATGTGGGATTTGGGGGAAAGTGTTCTAATCATCAGGGTTGGAAGGTTGAAAGGGAGTGCCAACCAGCAGCCAGGGTGCCCACATCTCCTGGCTCACAAGTCAGCCTTTACCAGCCCTTGGTAAATACTGCCCAGGGTGAGTAAGAGTAGAGAGAGAACTCAGCCAGCACACATGGCTCAGCCCAAGCATGGATCAGAGGGTGCCTGCTCATCTCAGATATTTGCCAGAGACTTTTACCTGCCAAGGTATCTCTATCTCACATGGAAATGCAACTAGCCAGGTGCTATGCCCT